GAAAAGAAAAGAAAATTGAAGATAAACAGAAGAAAAGAATCTAGAAAGTAACTATTCTAGCAGTGAAGGAAAGAACACACAGCACACACCCACACTTTTGTCCCAATACTAAATACTTATCTAATCTTATTATTAGCGGCGAATATTAAAAGCTTACGCTTATGAGATAATGGATAAATGGCCTCTACTCTTTAGGCAGGGAAGTTCTTATAACTCCTACCTGAAGAGATTTGTCCAAAGAGTATGTAGCTCGAGAAATCAATAAATGTTTATTGCGAACTGCCCTACTAGAAAAAAAGCGATTGAAATCTCTTTCGGTCCCTGCCGCAACTTAACTTTGTAAAGTTTAAGCAAAGTCTAGCTTTAATAAAACGAACGAAACAGCAACCTAGAAAATGTCCAACATTACATGAGACAAGGTCATACTGCCTCAAGGAGAATGTATATCTACTTAGGCTGGAACGAAGCAAACTCTCCTTCGCCGCTCGCAAATAACGATCTTTCCTCCAGTTATTTAGTAGCATCCAAACCTACAGGTAAGTTCTTTAATTTACTTCTGATCATAAATTCTTAGGTGGTAGCCCGTTGCCCTGTCCGTCCGAAAAGAGATCCTTAAGGCAATGGCGCGCGCTTGCGTGCCTTACAAACTCCCGTCCCGAAAGGATACCCTAGCTGTACAGCTAACCAGTCATTAGCAGTTAGGCATTGTCCGTTCGCAACGGGATTCTTAAGGTAACAGTGCGCGCTTGCATCATTACCTTATAGATACGCGGTCCGAAAGGACATCCTAGGAACCTTACCCCTTTAAGGACCAGCCTGGCGGACTGCCGTATTAGCAGAATATAACTTGCAGATCATACGGCAAAATTCACTATTCACGGAAAAATGAAGTTTGGTTACGCGTGGTTCGCATTTCTCCGTTTGTACACTATAGAGGCTGCCCGCTAGCACGTGCTGGTTTTTTTCTCCCCATTTTTTGAATTTATCTTCGTTACTATATAACTACGTAATTTACGCTTTATAAACTCCTCACCGAGTCCCCGGAAATAACACAATAGCCCTATAGATATCCTTGTCGAATCCCATCAAATACACAAAATTACATGCTGTAACGAACACGAGAAGGTTTTTTTTCTTTTAATAATAAAAATTTTTGGAACGGGCCGCTGGACAGCGCTGAGGCAAACCCCAACTGTAGATATTTCGTTACAATATGATTACTTAACAGTGTCGGTTTTTTCACTTTTCAAGTATTCGTGGAACTATAAACGTTTAGGGCAGATATTTTAAGTCGCATAGTTTAAGCTTGGATCACTCTAATTTTGATTTGAATGGACATGTAGACATTCAAGGAGTAAAATTTTCTGAATAAGTAGTTGACCCGAGAACAGAGAGAATTTATGTGTGCATCAAAGCACAAGTTATTGTCCATAATCACCCCCAGGTATTTAAAGCTATTTACAGTTTCAATGTTTTGATTTGGTTTTCGAAGCTATTCCGACGAAACCAATAAAAGAAAAACATAAACAGAAACAAATTTTTCCTGAGATCGCACTTCTATCCCATTGGACCATTCGTGCGATAATCTTGTTCAAAAGTAAAGAAAAGTTGCATTCGCCACTAATAAAAGCAATTTCTTTA